GTGTCAGCTGGGAGCAGCCTCCGAAAAGCTCTGGGGAAAAGGCAAGGGGAGAGAAGGAGAGAGAAGGAGGGAGAAAGGGCGGGGGCAAAGAAAAACTAGAGTGTAATTCAAACAAAAATGAAATTGTGTGTACACGTGCGCGCGCACACACACACACACTCTCTCACATACACACACACACACACACACACACACACACACACAAAGGGGGGGGATGCTCCCCTCTCCTCAGGTCCTAACAACATACTTCTTTATCAGAGGTTCATTGTCAATCAATTAGCCGAGGCAGCAGGGGTCTGTGAGGTGGGGGCACCCGGGGAAACAATGGACAGCCCTGTTGTATTACTATTTAATCACTTTTGCTAAATAAATAGAGCAGCCCTGAGGTGCTGTCATGTCAAGGGAATTTATAACAAAACAACAACAACAAAAAAAAAAACAACCTTCATTTTTCCTTGGTCATTCCTTTTTTCCCTTCAGGACAAGAGAGGGTTATTACTGTAGCCTTAAGTTCCATCTTTGTGTTTCTTGCCTTTGATTCCCACTCGGACCCTGCCACTTTCTGGCACTAATTTGTCAGGCTGAACAAAAAGAGGATTTGTACCTCCTGTAAGGTCTCAATTAGGAATGGCTTCTGCTGTATTATGTGCCATTCAAGGAGGACACAATGCCGGTAATTACAGGAATTTGCACTAAATGGCTGAAGAATTCACAGCAAAACTCCCCCCCCCCCCCCCCCCCCCCCCCCCCCCCGCCTTGGGTTTACTCCTCCCAAGGGCTGGGGGGGAAAAAAGGAAAGCAAAAGCTCTTAATGCCAGAGAGATGTAATTACCAACAGCAGTCCCAAGAGGTTAAACAGCAGCCAAGGGAGTAAAACCATAAAACTGACAGTGTGAAAATAGTAGAGGGGATCCCCTCAGCTCGCTATTTTTCTTGCTGTCTCTTCTGTTAACATTATTCAACTTCAGTCCAGAATCAGGAACACTGTCCCACAGTGGCCATCCGATATGACTCCCAGATTACAAAGCAGTAACAACGCTTTCAACAGTGAGCTTTGCAACTCTTACGGCACTTAAAACTAGGCCCTGGGCCCTTTTATTATAGTACTCAATTGGTAGGTTTCTTGACTGCTGGGAAATTACATGAAAAATAGCTGTAGATATTTGTGCCAAGAAAACCTTGTATCTAGTCAAGGGAAATAGGTATGTACACATGTCTAATTCCTGAAGAAAACAGGGCTGTTGCCTTATGATCTAATTTATAAAACATTTTTGTGAGCAACCCTATTTAGAACCACTTACAGGTACATACTTCATAAATATTTTAATAAGCTGAATAATCATGTTTTAGTACTAATATTTTGATACCACAAATGCCCCACTGCCAAACCAAATTTTGAATTCCAACCAGTAAGTTTGCTAGAGAATCATACCTCATTTTCTTCTTCTACAGAGGTGTTCCTGAAAAGGTGTACTAAACCAGCACCAAATTACTTGTTCTGAAATACCACTTGCATCAGATGCTCCTCTCTGCTCAGGAACCTTCTGTGACTTCAGGGTCACATGTTCAGTTCAACTCTATCAAATTCCTTTTGCCAGTCAAAAATGACTGAATAGCTGCTATTTCATATAGTTCTACTTGCCACCACCTAGCTTTGTTACAGTGGCCATTTGGCATTCCTGATGTGATTATTTGATTAATGTCTGGTTCACCTCACAGACTGCAAGTTCCATGAGAGCAGGGACCATGTCTGCTTTCTTGCAGCATGGCCTTCTCTGGTGCACCTGAGTTTTTGGCACATAGGCAGAAACTCAACACACAATAAATGGTAGAAAGAAAGAATTTCATTTCCAAAGGCATTGTTTGCAGGAAGAAGGAATGCATGTGAAAAGGCCCTACAGGCAAGAATGACCAAGGTAGGTTCCAGAACAAGACAACCATTGTGGCTGCAAGGCTTCCTAAGATGAGGCAGCAGTGGAGCTGGAGAGGAAGCCATGGAATGAACCACACATAATCAAATACAACTATAAAAAGTTCAAGCACATGTTAAGAAATACACAGTTATATATAAGCATGTGTTTTCAAAACCATAACCTCAGGCATTTTGGGATGGTCGTGCTCCATTTTCTCTGCAGGGGCTCTTAAAATTTCCAAAAAGGATATCGAAAATTCTTCACCTACAGAGTTTAGTGAAATAAGGCCAACCGCACTATTTTGTAGATTTAAAAGCCAACATTTGTATCTCGACTGGATGGCAACTGAATGACATCATAATAGAGGGCTCCTCAGTGCAATCTTCCACTTTTAAAGTTTTTTCATAGAAAATATTTAAAGGGAATAAATAAATCCTCAAAAAATATTTAAAGAAGGAGGTACTAAGTGGATGTAAAAACTTACAATCTGAGACACTATAACCATGAAATAAATATTCTGGATTAGCTTCTCCTTAAAATAACAGATTAACGACAAGTTCAACTAAAAACAACTTAGTAAGCATTTTGACATTTTATAAGGTAAACATACTATGCTACCAGCTTTTTCACCAAATGTATATTTTTACAAGGATGAAAATTCAGGGGACACAAAACTAAATGAATAAACATCCACTTTAGATTGATTATGTTTGTGAGAAACAGATCAATTTTTAAAGTTCCATCTGCTATAATAATCTTCAATTTAATGAACAACCTCCCAAGTAATTTTAAAAACATTCAGAGGTTTGCTTAAAAAGTTTTAGCCTTTTTCTTTTGAGACTCTGCCCCCTACAGGAGATGAAGTATTCCTACCTGGGGTAGGAAACCAATATTCCGTGTTGCAATTAAGGAAAATGAAAAGCAACCTGGTAAACCATGTGTACCCCCAAAGCAATCAAATGTAGCATTTTCCAATTAAAGGGCACTAAAGTGAAATAAAATATTTCTACTTTGGAATCTGCCATACTACACAAATTAGATTGACTTCTCCCCACCCCAGATTAGAAACCTACGTGTACCTTATTAGAACTCCAAACCAAAGCATGAAGGTAAAAGCTGAGCAGAGCAAATGAGTTTTAGACTTCATTCTCCTGCCTCCTGGATTCCCTATCACCCTCATCCCTAACCTATTGTCCGAACCGGGCCAAACTGAGTGAGGACATTTAGACAGCAAAGGAATATATCTTAATGGAACCTAAAGCAGCTGCCAAAAAGTTCTATCCCTGCCCATTCGGTAATCCTTTCCCTATTCTTTTCTACTTAGTTTCCTTCTCTCTGCCTCTTCTACTCACTTTTCCTTGTCTTCTTTTTTCATTTCTTTGACTGCTAGATGTGATGGACTTGCTGAATGCTACCTCTACTTGTATTCCTCCTTCCTCTGAGTGCTAGATACACTGCTAATACAGTCCAGATTGTGGGCAGTGCACACTTCATCAGGAAGCAAAACTTATGAGAGGAAGGTAAATTAGGAGCCAACTAGGTGGCAATCCTTATGTAATCCCTCAGACTTTTCTGCCTCTGTTTACTAGAAAATTTTCCAATTCAGCTATTCCAGTCTCTACCTTGAGGGTGAGCTATTCTCCTTGATTCCAATATTACTACAGATTTGTTGACCCTATCAGCAATCCAAAGCCACGGAAGTGTATCAGAATTCCAGAATGTTCAGAGTCAGCATCAACAAATTATTGTTGAATGACTGAACTTTGAAAATATATGTACTAATATAAGACATTAAAATGTCAATAATTTCTAAAAGCTGTGGTAAAGCAAGGGTTCCTTTATTTCAAAACCATCTTGCAAAAAGTAGCTGGCTGACTTAACACAAGGTCATTCATGCCTGCAGATATACATGCGTATCACCTAGTATGACTTCCTTACTGGCTCAATGTTGCTGGTCTCCCCTACCCAACCCTGCAAGTTTCTGCTTCATGGTCACTGAGGCCCTCCAGAAAAAGCAGGGATGATTCACTAAATCCCCTCTTTAGTTATATTATTTTTCAATAGAAAAGGCAATCTTTACAACTAACCTAAATGGAAATTTTCATGGGCCCCGACTATTTGGCTTTCAAGACCAAAAATGTCAAGCAAAAATTGAAAATTTGGTCTTGGCTGGTGGTGGGCATCCCGTTCTTTTTAAAATAACATACTTAAATCTGATATGCTTGAATTAGAATCTTCCAAATCAGGTTTCCAATTAAATGACCTTCATGGTAAATTTACCTTCAGGATAAATTTCTTGTCCTGTATTGTGGGGTTTAGTGAAAGGGAAATAAACTGGATTTAGTTTATAGTAGATATATAGATTTGGTTTAGTGAGGGTTCTATTCTGCCTGGAGTACTGGTTGGGGGAAAGTGCAAGGAATGGGAAGTAGGGCGGAGAAGCAGTAACAGGGTTTGAAGAAATGACAGAGGATCGGCCTTGAACTCTACTTTGCGCCTCACCCTTCCACAGCAGTTCCAGAAGCCCCAGTTTCCCCGGGGATGAAGCACAGGCCCACTGTGACTCAGAGGTCATCTGCTGAATCATCATCCACCCTGCTGTTAGCCACCTCCAGATTTTCTGTCAAGGCTGACTTTCTAGATTCTACCTTAACAGGATTTGACAAGGTCATGATCAATGACAGTTACTGACTATGGACATTTTTCTTCCCTAAGAAGTGTCTTAGCAGTCAACTTTGGGTGTGAATGTCTCTTTTGAGACAATTTGTGACATCCACATTCCCAGTGACCTTCTTAAGAAGACAGAGGAAATGGAATCGCAGCAGACAAAAGAAACCTAAATTCTAGTCTGGTTATGCTTTAGCTAAGTCATTTTGACTCAGTGGGGTATATCCTATCTGCTTCTGCTTACTTCACCAGCATGGCATGAAGACAGATGTTTTGATGTAGCGAACTCCTTGAAGGAGAGATGCTTTTGAAACAAGAGGTAGCTGTCACTGGCCCACTGAGGGATTTTTAAAGTGAATTCCAATTGTAGGATTCAGGATTGGTCTTTAATAAGCTTTAGACTAAAAATTCGCTTCATACCTGCACATTTGAAACTCTGAGCAGTGAGTCCTCGTTCCAAAGACAAAGTTGTCAGAATGCTGAGGAAGCTGGTGGTCACAGACTGACGTTTGTTCTTCCTGAGTTCGTGCCCACCCATCTGATCCTTGGGTTTGCTCCTCAGGGTGACCTGCAGGTTTTGCTCTGAACTTCTCGCTGCGTTGGCTGCTGTTCTCAGAGCCTCCATCCACTCCTCGGCCCTCTGCCGGGTCTCAGCACGAAGGCGGAGGACATCTTGGGGGAAAATGACTTGAAAGCAAGAGTCACAGTCGTCCAGGTTGTCCATTTGGACAGCCAAACACACGTCCACATTGTAGCTTAGCAGGGGATCCTCGTCTAGCTTGCCAGGTTGAAAAGCCATAAGGTAGGCCCTGCTCAGCACAAAAGTAAATGCCTTCCAGTTGTTTTGGACAGTTAGCCTGTACAGCATCCCTGATTTGATGATGTTTTGGTATTGTTTGAGGCTATCCAAGACAGGTGATGGCGGGAACAGCTCACTGGATTTCTTCTGTAAACAATGATTCTGTGTACAGTCAACGTGATGACCAAGCCCTGGTGAGTTTGCCAACTCGTCCTGCCGTCCCACGTAACCAGGCATAGCGGCGTGCACAACTTCCCAAAGCTTCTGCCCCCAGTCCAAAGCCTCCCATGGTGACTCTGCCTTTAACTGCAGCTGGGTGTTGTCATACAGAACGGTATCCACCAGCCTGGCCTCCAGGTTGCCCAAAACAGATATGCTCTGGAAGTGTGAAAGCTGGTAGGTGGCATAGAGGGCTTGATTGCCACTGCTGTCAAGGCTGTAGAAGTATAAGTTGTAGGGTGAAAGTTCTGCGTAACAGCTTTGCCAGTAACTGTCATGGTCCTTCCTAATCTCCAGGTACCCCTTCTTCAGAATGTTTGGGAATGCCTGCTTGTGTTCTAGAAAGAAAAAACAACAAGACGAGAGAATCAATGTATATTAATTTATGCATATGAGTGAACTCAATGAGATGAAAAGGCAGATGCAAGGAACCAAAGAGATCAGATCTTTCTGGTTCAAAGCAAACACAGTAGAAGCAGTACTGTTCCAAGATAGTACAAATGACAAGATGTTATTGGGGGGATATTTCAGGTCTAAAGAACTTCACAAGGGTAGAATCATGAGCGTAAGAGGTGGGTGGTTTGCAATGTCAGTGTGACATGCAGAGGCCTGAGTGGAAAACAGAAATACTGGAATAACTTGGATTATCCCCCTTGAGCCCACAAAACACCTGCACTTCCCCAGGATTCATGTTTTCTAGGTAACATTCTACAGAGTACCAAATACATGAGAGAGAATATTCCTATCACTTGACCTAACTCCTTGCTAATACTCTTACCTTTCTTTGGGTTAGGAAAGCCAGGAAGAGTCAATGGAGAGAGCATGAAGTGTGCTACTGATAGACTCCTGCTTCTCAGACCTCCCCCAATAGTCTTCAAGGCCAGTTCATGAGCCTTCTGTCTTCTAATCACTTCCCCAGGCTTGACTCAACTAGCTGGTTTTAGGTCTCTGGTTACATAGCAGTTCTCTCACACCTCTTGAGCCTGGATGCTCTTGTACTGTTCCTTCTGCTTACAATGTTCCTTCCCACTGCTTCCACCAGCTACCACACATTTACCCTTCACTTAGCCATCCTCTCTTCCAGGAACAGAGTCTGTCCTGACTCCCGCAATCCCTCACCTGCAAAGACACGGCCCTGGGTCAGTAACTGGTAGTATTCCTATTATTCCTGTCTGATGGGTTGTCAAGCTATATTATAATAGTTTATTTCAATATCTGAGTAAATAAAATAAATTTTGAATTTTTTTTTTAAAAGTCTGTCCTTCCCATTGGACTGTAAGCTCCACCGAGGACAGAGAAGAGGTCTGTCTTGTCATCCTTCTATCACAGCACATAATGCAATGCCTAGTACATAGTAGGCTCTTAAAAAGTACTTGTTGAATGAGAAATATAGCTCCTAGCACAATACCCAACATATAATAGGTATAATTTTTTTCCCTCCCCGTTTCACTAGTTTATCTGGTCATGCCATCTTTAATCAATGATTAGCTGCAATGTATACAAGTTCAGTACTTTAATAGAAGGAGACTATCATTTGGGAGACTTCCTTATACTTTTTATCAGGCGTGAAAATGATATCCATGCAAAAGGCAAAACCTCTCTCTGGCAGAGATTTTCATTTCATCCTTTCTCAGTTTCTTTGCTAAGATACATCAGAGACAGTCACAAACTAATTGAGTCATTCCCTAAAGAAGACATATCGCACTCCCAAAGTGTATGATTTCTGATCTTGGCTGAAGAAAAAAAAAAAGGTAACATAGATCTAGATCTTAAAATAGCAAACTAAAAGAGAAAAAGAGAGAAATGAGACAGAGAAAAGCCAATTTTACCTACTTTACATCTCCAGTCCTGACATTCATTAGTATTTCTGTGATAACTCAAAAGCCATTAATTTCTTGCAACCTACACTAATCCCTTTGTAGAGAGAGATAATGGATGCCTATTCTCAGTTATCTATCTTTTCTGATAATGCAATAAGGGAGGTAGTGCTGTTAGAAACACTGCTGCTACCTCTCCCCCTCTCATTTTCATCAAGCTCTGATGGTAGTTCACTATTTTCCATAATAAGACTTCTAACCATGTATCCCTCCATCCCCATCTGTCCTGTGACCCAGTGGCTCAGCTATGTATCCCTTAGTAAAATAAAAACCACCTTTCTCGTTTTTAGCTAGGAATTTTTCTCTTCTTTCCTCCCTTAGAGCTTTTTACAACAGCTAGCATGAATTAGAAATTCTACTTTAATTGGGCCTAAGCCAGCAGCAAACTCAACTAAAAACTCATCTCTTTGTGACTGTCCAAGCCAGGATGGTAGATGGCAGCTTGGGTGGACAGAGTGAGAAGTCCTGCCTAGGTGGTTCAAAGGTCCCCTCACTTTCTTTATGTAGAGTAAGGGTAGAGAATGCACTGTGTTTCCAGATTTTGCCCCCACCTGGCTTGGCCCTCCCTAAATAGGTATGTTAAATTGAGCCAGAAGAGACTGGTGTTGATAATAGGAAATTACCCATACTTATAGGCTGTAGTTGTACCATTAATTTCTTGAAAAAGATCAAGAAGAAGAGCATACGTGATCAGAAAGCTATCCTGTAGTGTGCATATTCCTCTCTGGAGGGTCTTACTATACCAGATCTTACTATATTTCCTGTATGAAGTATTAATGGTCTTTGAGTTCCAGAGAGCTCAACAACTACCATTTCTCTTTAGTCTCTAACAAAGGCTACTTTCTATTTCTTAAAATTTTTAAGGTTTTATTTATTTATGAGAGACAGAGAGAGAGAGAGAGAGAGGGAGGGAGAGAGAGAGGCAGAGACACAGGCAGAGGGAGAAGCAGGCTCCATGCAGCAAGCCCGACATGGGACTTGATCCCAGGTCTCCAGGATCATGCCCTGGGCTGAAGGCGGCACTAAACCGCTGAGCCACCCGGGCTGCCCAACTTTCTATTTCTATCTAAAGTTTGTTTTTAATATTTGCGCTACTGACAAATCAGTAATTTATAGTTCATCATTAATTTACAGCTCAATTTTTATATCCCTAGACCATATCATTTCAGTTCATTTAATTAACCTCACACCATTATTGTAAAGTGTTCAGTTTCACAAATGAGTAATATAAAATCTATTTAACCAATATCATAAATGATTCAGAAGAGACCACTGACAAAGATTATGACCATTTCCTCAACAAAACAGGAAAGGATGATCAAAATGAATCACTATACCCAAAAATTTCAAAATCACGAGTAATCCCTTGTGAAAAAGAGGGAAACCACCCCCCTTGAATTCTTCATTTCCCCATTGCTTTCTACTTTGACTAATATGAAGACCTGGTTCAGTTCCTCTGCAGGTCTTCTTCTTCCTCTTCTCCTTCTTCCTCTTCTCCAAGTCCTGTAATGTCAGTGCCATGGCTTAGGGACAATGACTGCTATTTACTGAAGAGGAAGAAGGGAACTTTCCCCGTCATGTGTACTGCCACTTTGGTACGGCCAATCTGCCAGAGTTCCTCTTTTGCTATTGTTTCCTCTATCTGTTCTCAGAAAAGTTTCCTTTCTCATGGCCACCACCTTAATCGAGGTCTGGTTTTTTTTTTTTTTTTTTTTCCTATTGTGGTACAATTGTCATATAACATTATATTAGTTTTAAGTATACAAATGTATACAAATGTAATGATTTGATATCTGCATATAATTTGAAATCATCACCACAGGAAGTCTAGTTCACACCCATCAGCATACATAACTACAAAGCATTTTTTTCTTGTAATGAGAACTTTTTTTTTAAGATTTTATTTATTTATTCATGATAAACACACACAAGAGAGAGTGAGAGTGGCAGAGAGACAGGCAGAGGGAGAAGCAGGCTCCATGCAGGGAGCCCCACGTGGGACTTGATACCAGGACTCCAGGATCAGGCTCTGGGCCGAAGGCAGGTACTGAACCGCTGAGCCACCCAGGGATCCCCGTGATGAGAACTTTTAAGGTGTATTCTCTTAGCAACTTCCAAATATTCAATACAGTATTATTAACTGTAGTTGCCATGCTGTACATTACATCCCCATGACTTTTTATTTTATAACTGGAAAGCTGTACCTTTAAGACCTAATCCAGGTCCAGATGGGCTCCCACCTCTAGTCCTCTTTCCTCCCGGGCCATCTCACGTGCTGTTACCAGGGTCACTCACAGCCCTTCCCACACCCCCTTTCCCAGCCCAAAACCCTTCACAAGTTCCCTAGTGTTATCCAGTAAAGATCAAACTCCTTAAGACATTTTATTATGGAAAATTTCAAACACACTCCAAAGCATGTAAAAGAGTAAAACAAACACCCAGGGACTGATCCTTCAGCTGCAAAAATCAAGTCTCCGTTATTCTTGTTTCCTACCTCCCGCCCCTCTCTGACTCTGGCTTTTTATTGGTTGTTTTGGCTGCAATATTTGAAAGCATATTGCTAACACTTTATCATTTCTACTCTAACTACTTCAGGGGTATCTCTAATCTGACAGATAAAACTTTAATACACACACAATTTTCACACTCAACATGAGTAATTCCTCATCTAATACCTAGTCTGTATCTGATTTCCCCAGATTATCTCAAAAAATTATTTTACACAGATGACTTGTTCAACTTCATTTCACACATTGATTTGGCTGATACATCTTTTAAGTCTCTTTAAATCTATAACAGTTCTTTCTCCTTTTTCTTTCATGCCACGTATTTATTGAAAAATGAGTTCATTTGTCCTGTAGAACTTCTCACATTCTGGACTTGGCTGAGTGTAAGCTCATGGTATTATTTGAATGTTCCTCTGTTTCCCATGTTTCTGTCAATTGCAATTTAGATCTTGAGGTTAATTTAGTTTTTTATTTTGGGGGTCTTTTTTTGGGCAAGAATATGTAACAGGTGGTTGTCCCACTTCCAAGGGTCTTTAGATTGATTAGGGAGTTTAGAAGATGTTAGTCTGATCCCTCCATAATAACTTTCCCCACTGACCTTTCATACAATGCAAGCACTTTTCTCCACTGCCCCATATATCAGCCAGGTGACCTGATGCTGTTTCTACCCCCCACCCCTCCCAACCTTTGTGCATGTTCTCTCATTGACCTTTCTGCCCAGATCTCCCCTCGCCTCTGCTTGTGCATATTTTCCTCACACATGAGGCCTAGTACAAAAATCTCACCTATTCCTGAAGAACTTCTTCATCCCCTCTAGTTGAAAATAACTGTTGTCCTCTGAACCCCTAAACTCTATGGCTAGACTACTCTGATGACTCAGATTTCAGATACTATTTCACATTTATCACATACATATTCAGTTATATAATAATATTATTCAAAATATCAGAAAGA